CCTAGAAAAATATGACACCTTCTTAGGCCATTCACAAAGACTACTGGACTGTTCCAGAAATAAATACCACTTCATAGTTTCAGTCTTGGAGCCCTTGGCTGTGGGCAGTGAGATGGGGGACATGTGAGATGAAATGCGGGTGATGGTGTGACCTGGAGTGGAGGTTTTGATATTGCTCAAGGGCTTGTTGGAAGAGAAGTCAAATGTGAAATATGGTGGGCCTCATGATGCTGTCATGTGCTGCGAGGAGCCGCCCCGTTTAACAAGGGAGTGAGTGAGTGACTTTCTAGGTGAGAACAGCTCTTACTGGAAGCTTTTGTAAGAGAATATTCTGAATAATTAATTTGCCTGCTATGGGTAGAAAATTTCCTAAGGATGACCAGCTGCTCGCAGAGTATCTGTAGTAGTCAAAATTTACCACCTTAGCATTAGAACACTGCATGAATATGGGGTAATTTAACTATCAGATTAGAAGGAATTTCGAATTTTGGTTTGCGTTTGTTACAGGTTGTTTGGTTGTTGATGAGTTTATTTATTTATTTGAGAGATGAGAGAGAGAGAGAGAGAGAGAGAGAGAGAGAGAGAGAGAATATGTAGGCCAGAAGATAATCTTGGGTATTGTTGTTATGCAGGTCTTGTTCATTTGATTTTTGAATGAGGTCTCTCATTAGCCTGGAGCTCAACAATTAGGCTTATTGACTGGCCAGTGAGCCTCAGGATTCCTCTTGTCTCTGCCTCCCCATCCCTGAGATTACCAGTCTGTACCATCATGCTCAATTTGGTTTGGTTTGGTTTGGTTTGGTTTGGTCTCTGAGATAGGGTCTCCCTGTAACCCCAGCTGACCTGAAACTTGCTATGTGGACCTCCATATGTGAGATGTGGCTGGCCTCCATCTCACAAAGATGTGCCTGCCTCTTCTTCCCAAGTGCTGTGATTACAGGCATGCACCACCATACCTGGTCGTGCTCAGTTTTTAAAACATGGATTCTAGGCCTTGAACTCGGGACCTCTTCCATTTTTAGGCTTCTGCTAGAGAAGGACTGAAGGCTAAGAGATGGATTCCTCTCCTCTGTATCAGAGGTGCAAATGAGCTAATCTCATCTCTTTAGGCTCCTGTTTCACAAGCGAATTCCTTGCAGAGTTGTTAGATCTTCCTTCCCCATCACATAAAACACACATACATTTGTGGGCTTTGTTTTACTTTTTGTTTTTGAGTCAAGGTCTCATGAAGCCCAGCCTGGCCTTGATCTCCTTATGTAGCCAAAGATGACCTTGACTTTCTGATCTTCCTGCCTCCACCTCTCAAGTGCTGGGGTATAGGCATGCACTACCATAACCAGTTTCTTTGGTGTTGGGAAGAGAACCCAGCACTTCATGCATGCTGGAGGAACACGCTACCAACTGAGCTATAATCCCAGGCCCTTGATTTGCATTTGCTGTAGACTTTTTAGCAAAATCTTAGCCTCCATTGCACACTAGAATTATCTTTGTAACTGAGATGGCTCAGTGGTTAAGAGCACTTGCTGCTCTTGTAGGGGGCCCAGAGCTTGATTCCCAGCACACACATCTGGTGACTCACAACTGCCTGTAACTGCAGCTTTGAGGGATTTGATGCCTTCTTTAGCTTCATGCATGTGTGTGTGTGCATGCACACACACACACACACACACACACACACACACACACTAAATAAAGATAATAAATAATCTTAAGTAGAAAAGATCCTGAGACCCAGGCCACCCTTCAGAAGGAAGTCTGAAAGGATCCAGGCTTCACTGTTTCTTCAACTGTTCAGCTACTTTCACCCAAGGGTGGAAGCTGATAACCACCAATCTAGGCTAAAATCTTAAAATGCTAGAAGGCTGAATTCCATCCCTTAAAAGTTTGATTATCTATTTAGAAGAACACCAGAGCCTTCCAGCCAGCAAGTAGATGTTTGTTCAGAACATACCCTAAATAAGAACAAAAAAAGACTAAATGTAGAAAACATGGTCTCATGTTCCTTTAGTCTATCTTGTCAGTATCTTATAAGGAAATGTAAGGAATCGATTAATTCTTTCATTAATAGATCCAAACATAACCCTTGTGGAAAAAAATATATACCCATTGTTGTGTTAGCACCAAATTTAACACAAGGTTCAGACACTATTTCTTGCCTGTATTTTTAGCTAAACAGAACTGTTGGTCTGGGAGACACTGAGGATTTTAAAATAGTGTGTTACCTAAAAATACACTTCCTGAAATGAACTTACGGCCTGAAAGGGATGAATGGGTCTATTTTTTTCTTCTGTATTTACTGTCACCACAAGAAAGCAGATCTTAAATATATATGATGATATTTTTAGAGCCCCAGGAAGCAGGTGTTGTGCCCAAGCAACAAAGAAAGTTTCAGGGTGAAATCTTAAGGACAGAAATATATAATTCACAGCACGGAGAGTGACTCTGAGAGGCGTCGAAGCCGTTCTGCTCTGGGCAGAAGCAAGCTTAACACAAGGAGCAGAGTCAAGACTCTTCTCAGATCTCTCCCTAGAGACCCCTTGGCGAAGCTCCTCCCAACTTCCTAAGGGCCAGTGACTAGCTTAGGGCTATTTGCAACCAATTGCTCAACCCAAGCCCAGCAGAGAGTACCTGTTAATTCATGTCTCTTGTTTGAACGCCTAATACCTTGTCTTATTTCTCTTGACTCTAAACTACGTCTTTAATGGCTGCCATCTCCAATGGGGATCTTGCTTTTTGCCTCTCTGTGCATGTGCTTTGCAAAAGAACATAATTTCCCTTTGATATTTCATGGAGTAAAGGTGAATGAATATTACACTTGTAATCACACTCCCCCCATGTCTGAAAGAAGAGGTTCCATGTCTTCTAGATACCACTTGGAATGCTCATACCTTGCCATTACAACTGTGTGTATTCACCTGTTCACTCATTTATTCAACAAGAAATTTTCTTTGGATATTGTGATGGTTGGTTTTGTCACCTTAATACAACCTAGAGTCACCTGGGAAGTAGGTCTTAATGAGGAATTATTGTGTAGATCACTTTGGCCTGTGGGCATGCCTGCCATGCATGTCCTGTGGGAAACTGTCTTGATTGTTGATTGATGTGTGAAGATCCAGCCCATTGTGGGAGGCATCATCCCCTAGCCAGGAGGTTTAGACTGTATAGGCATAGTGGTCAAGCTGAGCTCTAACACGCATGCATGTGTGCAATCTTTTCTCTCTACTCTTGATTGTTGGTGTGATGTGACCGGCTGCTTTAAGTTCCTGTTGCCTTAACTTCCCCACAATGATGGACTATAATCTGGATGTGATCTAAATAAACCCTTTTTCCTCTAAGTTACCCTTTGTCAGGGTCATTTTTCATAGCAGTGAGAAATGAAGCTAGGGCAGATATTGTTGATGGCTAATCTTCATTATCAACTTAACTGAACTTAGACTGAGTATGTCTATGTGAGTGCTTCCAGAAAGGTTTCACTGAGCAGGAAAATCCCACCCTGAACATGGGCAGCGCCATTTCATGGGCTGGGGTCAATGAAAAGGAGATACAAAACTAAACACCATTATCCATGGCTCTCTGTTTACTGACTGTGCATGCAATGGGACCAGCTTCCAACTCCTGCCACCATGCCATCCCTGGCATGATGGATTGTGTCCTCAAAACCACGAGCCAAAATAAATCCTTCCTTCCTGAAGTTGTTTTTGCCAGGTATTTGACCACATTAGTGATAAAAGTAACTAAAATAGATACCTTCTCTTTGACAGATGCTCTTTCTGGTGTTAGAGATAGACTATAAACAAAGTAGACTGATGTTCTCAGAGGTTACATTCTGGTATAAGCACTGAGGTGCCCCACATGGCTTGGCAGACAATAAAACAGAATCCTGTGTTAGCTATGAACTGGTAGTTTTAGGATGAAAAGTGGCATATAATCAGAGACAAAAGAGGTGACAAGAAGCCAGACTAGGTGACAGAAAATGGAAATGCTGGGAGGAATGAACTTGTCTCTTTCCTGAAGAGGTCACCATATCTTCCAAGTATGAAATGAGGGAGTGGGGGTGACAGCAGTGGAGGGGATATGGCCAGAGAGGTGGCAGGCAGGGAATCCCTGAGGTAAAGTCAGCTTTATTTGCTTTCAGATTTTCAGTGCCTTATTGGTGGCCAGTTCTCAGGCTTGTGTCTAGAAGGTGCTAGCAGAGCTAGGCGGTTACCTCTAGGCAGTTGAGAATGGGGCAGAAGGCAGTGGAAACCTCTTTTGTGCAGAGGCCCTAACATTCTCCCAGGCTGGGAACAGGTCTGATGTCTTCTCCCCGAGCCCCCCGCTGAGGGTTCGCCCACCCCCTCCTTCATTTTTCCACTCCAGTGGTGACTTGTCTGCCCGTTCAGGTGATGAGTCTTCTTCTCTTATGCATACATTCTCTGTTCCTGTTTGTTCATGTTGCCCTGGTGTGTTTCCTTGTTTTGACTTATCCGATAAACCGAGACAAGGCCTCATGTCACCCAGGCTGACCTCAAACTCACTGTGCAGCCGAGGATGGCCTTGAACTCCTGACCCTCCTGCCTTTACTTTCCTAGTGCTGAGATGACAGGCATATGCCACCATGCCCGGTTTATGCATTGCTGGGGATGAGACCCAAGGCTTCATGTTTGCTAGGCAAACACCCTACCAACTAAGCTGTTGGGAAGGGATCCTTCTATATTATTCCTATTAATTCTTTTATTTACTTATTATTATTGGGTAAGAGGGCACACACATACCATGGCATGTGTGTGGAGGTCAGAGGACAATTTTCAGGACTAGCTATCTTTCCACCGTGGGCTTCTGGGGTTAAAATCAGGTCATCAGGCTTGCCTGTAAAGTGCTTTTACCTGGAGCCATCTCACTGCTCCTATATTCCTTCTGATGATGTCCAAATTACTTGAAATTGCATAACATGTGCTGGAATCCATTGTCAGGCTGCCCAACAGCTGGGTAATCCTTTGCTCTGCTTTCTGTCTCCTCAGTTAACGATGACATGATAGCCAGTGACAACAGTGGTGCCGTCAAGATTTCACAACTATGCAAGTTTTGTGATGTGAGATCTTCCACCTGTGACAACCAGAAAACCTGCATGAGCAACTGCAGCATCACATCCATCTGTGAGAAGCCGTATGAAGTCTGCGTGGCCGTGTGGTAAGAGGGCCTTTGAAGGAGGCACTCTCACTTTCTGTGGTAGCTATTTTACATATTGCTGTGACAATATACCTGAGGAAAGCAACTTAAGGAATGGCTCTTTATGGCTCACGGTTTCAGAGGGGATAGTCTATCCTGGCAGGGAGGGGCAGCATCACATCCATCTGTGAGAAGCCGTATGAAGTCTGCGTGGCCGTGTGGTAAGAGGGCCTTTGAAGGAGGCACTCTCACTTTCTGTGGTAGCTATTTTACATATTGCTGTGACAATATACCTGAGGAAAGCAACTTAAAGAATGGCTCTTTATGGCTCACAGTTTCAGAGGGGATAGTCTATCCTGGCAGGGAGGATACGGGGACAGGAGCTGGAAGCTGACTGGTCATATCGTATCACCATTCAGGAAGCTGACACTGAACAGGCAGTGGGGCCAGACTATAAAGCTTCAAGACCCTCCCTCAGTGACTCACTTCCTCCAGCAAGACTCTACTTCGTAAGAATTCCATAGCTTCCCAAACAGCATGCCCAGCTGAAGACCAAGTGTTCAAACATGTGTACCTAAAGGGACATTTCACATTCAAACCGTAATGCCTTTTGAAAATCATACCTGTCCATGGAAAAGTCACTGGTTTTGTCCCCAAAATATAGGTACCTACAACCCTTTGTGTTGGTATCATCTCTCTTCAATGATTAAGTGTGATTTCTTTTTTTAAATTTTATTTCATTTATTTTTATTTCATGTGTATGAATGTTTTGTCTGCATGTATGCACCACATGTGTACAATGCCCATGGAGGCCAGAAGAGGGCATTGAACCCTTTGGAATTAGAGTTACAGACAGCTGTATGCCAACATGTGGGTGCTGGGAAACAAATCCAGGTCCTCTGCAAGAGTAGCCAGTGTTCTTAACTCTTAACTACTGGGTCATCTCTCTCCAGCCACTATTAAATGTAATTTCTAGCTATATTCTCTCTCTTTCTCTCTCTCTCTCTCTCTCTCTCTCTCTCTCTCACACACACACACACACACACACACACACACACACACACAAGGATATGAGTTTTCATATTAACAATGAATTTAGAAACCCTTCCTTATATCAGGAATGGAGATTTCCCACCTGCTGCTGATTTAGCTGGCCCTCTTGTGTTCCAGGAACACTGTTCTTTGAGATGCAGGCATTAATTTTTCTCACGGCTGCCATGCATACCTGGCAGAAGCAACCTCAGGGAAGAGAGTTTTACTTTGGTTTCCAGTTTCAAAGGATTCTGTTCATCATGGTGGTGATGGCATTGTGACTGAATCAGCTTAGTCCATAGCATAGAGGCTCATAACTTGACAGAGCATGAAACTGTTCTCAGGCTGGAAGGAAGGCAGAACTATAGCCCTCAAAGACTTGCCCCATGGCCCTGCAACTACCTACTATATTCCATAACTAAAAGGCTCCACAGGAACTGGAGAGATGGTTCAGTGGTTAACAACACTGGCTACTCTTGCAGAGGATCCAGGTCTAGTTCTCAGCACTAATATGGTGGCTCACAACCGACTATAACTCTAGTTCCAGGGAATCTGATGCCCTCTTCTGGCCTCCACAGACATTTCACACATATGGTACACTTAACATTCATGCAAGCAAAAACACTCATACATACACAATAAAAATAAGTAAATTAAAAAAAATTAAAGGTTTCACAACCTCTCACAACAGCACCTCCAGCTGGATTTCAGGTGTTCAGGCACATGGAGTGGGAGTACACTTTACATCCATCACATAAGGCAATCTCAGTTCTGTGGTGTGGGAGGAGTGGAGATGAAGGGTTGGCCATTAGAAAAGGAAAATCACATGCCCAGGACTGGGGAGATGGTTCAGTGGGTAAATTGTTTGCCCCACAAGCCTGATGACCTGAGTTCAACTCCTCAGAACACCTATAAAAGCCAGGAGCAGTAGTGTGTTTGTCTGTAATCCTATCACACACTATGGCGAGATGGGAGGTATAGGTAGGAGACCTGCCAGAACCTCCTGAGCCAGCTAGCATGGAGTAAGCAGCAAAAAACAGCAAGAGAGACTCTCTCTGACACAAGAACAAACACTTGAGGGTGTTCTCTGACAGTTGAACATTTTGGCACATGTGTGCCCCTCTCCCCGCCAGCCCACACATCACACACACACACACACACACACACACACACACACACACACACACCACAAACACCTTGCCCAGTGGGAAGCTTGGGCAGATAGTGAACCTTTTACTTATTAGAAGTCCTGAATTCGCCACTCGTACAATCTCCTCAAGTCTTTCTCTTGGACCAAGACTGCATGTTCTCATGGATCCAACCTCTGCTCTCTCATCCTCTGTCTCCCAGTCTTTCAAACTCACCTCCTTCCCACATATGAATATACCAACAGCTATTTGCTTGTTCATTTTTTTCTTTGTTGTGATTTTTGAAATAGGGACTCATGAAGCCCAGGCTGTCCTCAAGCTTACTGAGTAGCCGAAGCAGGCCTTGCACTCTTGATTCTTTTACCTCCATCTCCCAAGGACAAGGATTATTGGCATACTCCACCATGCCTGGCTCCAAATAGCTCTTCAATACACATACATCGGGGGCTGAAGAATCATCTCGTTAAATCATGTTTGTGAATCGAGAGCAGGAGCAAGACAAACAACCATTAAACAATCATTAAAATCACCCAAATGTACTTTTCAAAGTATACAGTGAATAAGGAAATTTAACATTTTATACTTATCCTATTTTGAATTTATTAGCTATTTTTAATTACATTGTGTGTGTGTGTGTATGTGTGTGTGTGTGTGTGTGTGTGTGTGTGTGTGTGTGTGTGTGTGTGTGTGTGTGTCTGTGTCTGTCTGTCTCTCCACATGCCAAGGCTTTGGGAATTGGTTCCTTTGTTCCATCATGTGTCTCCCAGGGACTGAACTCAAGTTGTCAGGTTTAGTGGCGAGTATCTGCACCTGCTAAGCCATCTTGTTGGCCCCTATTGGCTGTTTGTTTGTCTGTTTGTTTGTTTGAAGTAGCTGATGTGATTCCTGGCTATTTGGCAAACAAATATAAACCCAAATCTCTCTCTTCCTTTTTGAGAAATGAAGCTTTTGACACTTTCGCCAGGCCACAGATTTACCTCAATGATAAGCCTAGAAGCCTTGCAAATTTCCATACATTCCTAGGTATGAACTGGGTTTTTCAAGAACTGAAGGAATGTTAATACTAAAGATCCTTCTTGCCAACCTGCTATGCCTGCCAGCTCCCTGTGGTTTCATTATGGGCACTGCATTTGAAGAAGGGCTTCTGATGATAAGGAGATTCCAAGAACAGGGTCCCACGTGATTGTAATTAGAGGTTGCAAAGGGTGCTTTTGAGGGGCCGCCCAAGCAGCCAGACCTGCTTGGTTCAGCACTGAGAAGATAGGGGCTGTGTTGGGAGGAACTGAAAGGCTCTCCGATGGAAAAATATCATCAGTTCATCTGTGTAGCTGCGCAGGGTGGAGAGAGGAGCAAACACTTCATGTTCAGCATAAGCTTAAATATTATCCTAGTCATAGTTCCCAGCATCACGAAGGGCTTCCTTCTGTGGAAGAGTCAAGTGGAATTCTGGAGAGGCCGAGTGAGGTGGAAGGAATGCGACAGCAGACCTCAGGGTCTGGATACTTCCTCCTGTGGTTCTTTTCTCCGCTGCAACCTTTTCCTCTTTATTTATTAGTGTGTATGTATGGATGTGTGAACTTCGGGTATGGTTTGTCACCCACCGCCTACTTTGTGTTTTGAGGCATTCTTACTAGGTAGAACCTGGAGCTCACTGGTTAGGCTAGACTCACTAAACAGCAAGCCCTAGGGATCCTCCTGTCTCCACCTCCCCAGCCCTGGGGTTACCATCCCATGCTGCCACACCCATCTTTTTTATGGGGTACTTGCAGGGCAGACATCTTGCTGACTGAACTATCTCCCAGCCTTTCTACTCCTTTAAGTAGATATTTTCACCAGGCCTGCAAGACATGTTGTGAGTTGTGAGTGTGTGAAGAAGGAAACCCCACTGCTCCTTGGTTTCCAAGCTATGGAGCTGACTCTAGTGAGCACCATTCATTCTTGCCTGTCTAGAGGGCAGCAAATTCTCCTGGAAACAGAAATACATTGCTGCACACACGTCCCACATCCCCCTTCAGGGCAGAGCACTTGTCTCCTGGGGTTGGGATGCTGGGGACTTTCCCTGGATGATGGAATCCGCAGCGTTCCTGTGGGGACCTCCGGAGCTCCACCATCTTAGGGCTGGGTGATGCAAGGCTTCAAGATGCTGGGCCCTTTTCCTCAACTGGAGAACCTTCAAGGGCCTTTCTGGTTTCTGGGGTGTGAGCTGAGGCTCCCGTTGCAACCCGCCTTGGCCTTGCTGGCCACCTTCTTCAGAGCACTGGCACTCCTGCCCGTCCTCTCTGAGTTACACCCCAGACTTGTGCACGGACACCTCAGAGCTCAGCGTCTGCTTCCAGGAAACCCAAACTCCACAGGAACCCATGTCAATTTTATTTTAAAATTTAAAATTAATTTTATTCATTTTTATTTATGTGTTTCTGCACGCCTGCCGTATGTGCCCGATGGGGCCAGAATAGGCTGTGGGAACGCCACCTGGATCTGGAGTTACAGGCAGTTGGGAGCTGCCAGATGTGGTGCTAGGAATTGCATTCTGGTCCCCCGAAAGAGGAGCAAGGGCTTTTAAGCACTGAGCCATCTCTGTAGCCCGAGGAGCCTGTTTTTAAGAAGACCCACATGTGGTACCTGGAGGGGTCTGCCGCGAGCTAGGCTCTGGTGCTTGTTCATTCATTCTTTCATTCAACTCAGGTCAGCTTTATTACTCGTTCCCTGTAAAATGTTCACACTTTTCCTAATTATAGAAGTATTTTAGAACCGAGGTTCAGATAACCAGGAAGCAAGGGCAAAAAAACTTTGAGAGCTAGAGGATGGGGAAGAACGCTGTGAAGTGCTGTCTTCTGGGCATGACATGGCCGTGCACTCACGAAGTCACAGCAGCTGTGCAGTGGCAGTTATTACCCGAGATCCAGCCCATGAACATTCCTCAGCTGGGGTTGGGGAGGTCGTGAGGCCCCACTTCTCCCTGAGGAGCTCTGGGCAGTTCATGGTTTCTGGGGGAAGGGAGTCATTTCTTTAGTTCTCTAGTCACTGGTAAGTTGCCAACGCTCCAGTAAATAACTCTCAGCTCATGCTTCAGTGAAAAGAAAGTAGAAAATGTTTGGGGACATTAATGATGCCATTTAATAATGGAATGTGTATGTAGAGCCAACCACCTGGACATTTCCCAAGGAACATGTCATGTAGTAGATTTTCTAAGCTCTCCTCCAAATAGTCTCCAAACATGAATGCAAAAGATTACTAGATACAGAAGTGATTCATTTATGCAGCATAAAATACTCGTATTCTTCTGTGCTGTCAAGGAAGAGCTCACTGTCATTCTCTCCCTCATGTTGTATTGTGCTTCCCCCACTCTCCTTCTGTAACAGAGGAAACTACAGTTCTTTCTTTGGGATCTTTCTTCACATTTTGTCTTTGGAACCAGCTGTTAACAGGAACGTGCCACCTGCTCTACCCCCCCGACCCCCACCCCAGAGTACCATATGGCCATGAAGCAGGAAAAACAAGTCAGGGGCTAGCAAGATGGGTTAGTCAGTAAAGTACTTGCTGCACACACATGAGGACCTGCATTCAAGTCACAGAAACAGCCAGCCATGGTGATACATGCTTGCAATCCCAGCATTGGGAAGATGTACACAGGATCCTTGGGCTTCCTGGCCACCCAGCCTAGCTGAATTGGGGAGCTCCAGGCCAGTGAGAGACCTTGTTTCAATAAACAAGGTGGACTACTTGAGCCCCCAACAATCCTATTTCCATGCCTTCCCCTTAAGAATTCAAATAAAATTTAGCCTATCAACATACCACCCTGAATTCATCTGATTTCATTAAGGTTTAATGTTCGAATTTTCGGGTAGATGGTCGCCAAGGAGAACTGTCATGTTTATAATCAGAAGTAGCTTCTTCAAATAAGCAATGAACCAAGGGAGACAGAATTGGTACAAGAGGGTGTGGGACAGCAGAGGAACAGTGGAGAACAGGAAGTAGTTGCTGATACAAAGAACCACTTCTTGAAGCACATACAGACTGGGCTGCTCTGTCCAGGCTCTGTTCATTCACCCTCTCCTCTCTGTCTCTCTCTTCTCTATGAACCTGTGCATCCCAGGAGGAAGAATGATGAAAATATAACACTAGAAACAGTGTGCCATGACCCCAAGCTCAAGTACCACGGATTTATTCTAGAAGACGCAACTTCACCAAAGTGCATCATGAAAGAAAAGAAAGTTCTGGGCGAGACTTTCTTCATGTGCTCCTGTAACACGGAGGAGTGCAATGACTACATCATCTTCTCAGAAGGTGAGCTGTCTTCTTGCCAGGGCTGACACCATTCCCTTGGAAGGCAGAGATGCTGGCCTGCCTATATGTGGTCCTTAGGGCCCACCTTAGTAACTCTCCCCGACAACAGTGCTTCCTCAAGTATAACCTCCAAAGCAGCCTCTGGGATTTGTTAGAAATACGAATTCTTTTGTAGAATCTATTTTGTCTCTATCTGTGTATATGGGGTACATGTACACGTGAGTACATGTGTGTATGTCAGAAGCCAACCTTGTTCCTCAGGAGCCATCCAACTTGTTTGTTTCGCTTTTTTGTTTCTTTTGTGTCAGGGTTTCACTATGTAGACCAGGCTGATCTGAAACTCACAGAGATCCATCTGCCTCTGCCTCCAGAGTGCTAGGATTAAAAATATGTGCCACCAGGCCCAGCCACCTTTCTTTTTGAGAAGGTCTTTTTCTAGGGCCTGGGACTGGCTTAACGGCTAGTCTGGCCTAACCAGTCAGAGAGATTGTTCTATGCAGAATTACAAATAAATCATGATTGCAGCAAAGCACGCCACTGAGATATTGTTAATTAATTAACTAATTAATTGATTAATTTAGAGAGCCTCACCATTGTGTTCAATTTGGGCTGGAATTCACTCTGTACAGCCCAGGCTGACCTCAAACTTGGAATCCTCCTGCCTCAGCCTCCTGAGTGTTGGGATTCTGGGCACAACACACCACTCTCTCAAGATGTTTTTAAAAATCACATTCATTCATCTATAACTTACATAAAGTAAAACACACCCTTTTCAAAAGCAGAGTTGCTATCAGATGGTGCTGAATGCACAGGATTGTATAGCTGCGGCCGCCCTGAAAGAAACTGTGACTCACAGTGATCTCCTTCCTGCCCTTTGGCTCTTATCTCCCACTGGGACTCCTTCTTCTTCTTCTTCTTCTTCTTCTTCTTCTTCTTCTTCTTCTTCTTCTTCTTCTTCTTCTTCTTAAGGGCATGCACCACTACACTGGACTCTCTTGTTCTTATTTTTAAAATTTGTTTATTTTCCTCCTGTGTTTTGTGACTTCCAAATAAAATAGATAGCTATGGCCTTGACAATAGTTGTCTGAAGAATGGGTGTCAGGTATACCTGAGCTCATACTATGCTGTTCAGTCTCCTGATGCTCCAACCTGCACAAAAAAATAGTGCCCTAGTTAGTTTTCTGTTTCTGTGACAAACACTGTGATCCAAACCCCTTTGTCAGGAAAGGGGTTATTTGGCTTGCAGAGTACAGTGCATCCCTGAGGGAAGCCAGCGCAGGAACTCAAGTCACGGAACTGAAGCAGAAACCATGGAGGAATGCTGCTTACTGGCTTGCATCTCCTGACTGGCTCAGCTACCTTTCTTATACAGTTTAAGCCCATATCCCTAGAGATGGCACCACCCACAGTGGGATGGGCTCTTGTATGTCAATTAACAATCAATAAAATGTTCCACAGACATGCTCACATGCCAATCTAATGGAGGCAATTCTTAAGTTGAGTTTCCCTTTTCCCACATGTGTCAAGTTGTCAACTAAGATCAGCCATCAGAGATAGGTAGGTAGGTGGATGGATGGATGATAGATAGATGATAGATAGATAGATGGTAGATAGATACAAAGATATATAGATAGAT